ATCCTCCTGCCACAACCTCCCCAGTATCTGGGACTGCAGGGATGTACTATAACACCTGGCTAATTTTTCTAATTTTGTAGAGACAGGGTCTCACTATTCCACTGATCCTCCCACCCCTACCTCCCAAAGTGCTAGGATTACAGGCATGTGCCACCACGCTCAGCCAGAATTTAATTTCTACCTCAATGGTTCTAGTTCTAAATATGCCATCATGTTAAAACCAGTAATAGCTGGTATAATGATAAGGATGTATCTTAATATATCAATGGCATTATCTCCAATTTCATCTATAAAAATCTTAGGAAGTAGAAGTGATTGAACTGTCACAAGTACAAAAAACCAGTTTCCGGTAAACTTCATGTATTGGGGAATGTTAACTGCTCCACCTCCAAAAACTACAAGGAGACCAAACCCAGTAGAAACTAAAGAGGAAAAGCCCTGTGCTTTTGGTGTGCTTCCACAAAATATCCTTTTTCCCATAAGCTCACAGAGTAAGCTTCTAGTACTTACAACCAGAAAGCAAAGGATAAAACAAAAGACCAAAGAAAAACATATATTTGTGGTGCTCACCTGTTTTAAGTCACTGGTACACAAGGCTCAAGAAGGCATCCGAGGATGAAGCCTTTTATATTTGACCATTAAAAAGCAGAAATAAAGTTCTGGCCAGGAGCAACTTTTATTTTGCTAGTATAGGAATTCCCAAGGTATGTCAGGGTCAGCAACATAGAGGACCACAGGAGCATGTTAGAGAGCAAATTGGATTTGAAGAAGCAGACCATTCATTGCTTTCAATAAGCAGAATATGCTTGTTTCTTAGATTTTTATTGTTAAATTTTTTTCAGATGGTTCTAAAGCTTTTTAAGAAGTAGTATGTGGAAAAGTGTTCACACACTGCAACTCACTTGGTGTCTTTCCAGAAGTTCCCCAAATTGGAATCTTAAAATATGAATATAGGGATGAAAAACCAGCTTAAAAACAGTTTTGTTAAATAAGTCTGTTTTTTTAATTCAATGAATGATTTTAAAAATTAGCTTCATTGTTTTTTAATTTACCATCTGCTAACTCAATAAATATGAGTTCTTAAAGTTAACCTAATTGTCTTGGAATTTGCTGTTTTTGAAGTTGATTAAAGTTATTTAAATTAATTTTATTGTATATCCAGACTAGAACAAAGAATGTCTGTATTTGAATAGATCTTAGCTAATAATTTACAAATAAATGTACCCATTTGTAAAATGAACAATTTTGTTTATAGCCTTTAATATACATCATTTGACATGTAGAATTCAGAGAAGAGATGCTGATATTAGATTATTCGAGACAGCATATTAACACACCAAAAAATGTAGCCACTAAAAACTGTGCCCATGTACAAAATTTTCATTAACTCCCTCTCATGTCTATTGAAGAGGAAATGTAGAGTGAGCATCCACTGGGATGCAATTTCTTTTAACCCTACATTCCCACGGATGAAAGAAACTGTTATGTTTCTTTAAATATTGTCCTGCCTCTGGTCACAGTTTATTGGACTAAGCGTGGTCAATGGACCCAAGTGAGCCAATCAGACTCTTCCCTGAGAATTATGAAAGATAGAAAGATGGTCTTTCTCTGGGTGGCTTGACTGGAACATCTATGGCTGGCTCAAAACCAACTGGAAACGATAATTTTCTGTGTGAACTGAGGACAGGGGAGAGCGGGACTACCATGAGGAAGACAAAGACAAGATAAGGAGAAAAAGGCTTGACTTGCTTCCTAATAGTGCTTAAATACTTCTCCTATTTCTGATGTCCCTTTGCATCCCTGACTTTGAATTGCAAGAAAATCCCCCTCCCCTCCTTTTTTTCTCCCGTAATTCTCAGGGAAGAGTCTGATTGGCTTACTTGGGTCTGGTGACCACGCTTAGTCCAGGATCTTGATCTGTTGCCTGGGCTGGAGTGCAGTGGCATCCTCATAGCTCATTGCAGGCTTCCAACTCTTGGCCTCAAGCAATCCTCCTGGTTCAGCCTCCCAAATAGCTGGGACCACAGGCACACACCACCACATCAACCTTATTTTCTTATTTTTTGTAGAGATGGGGTTTTGCTGTGTTGCTAAGACTGAAAAATCCCTGTCTTGCTTAAGCTTACAGAGCCAGCACCTATCACTTATAGGTCAAAATAACTTGAACTAAATGCACAACAGAGGGAATCCTTCAGGCAGTAATGATAGTTTAATCAGGGAATTCCAAACTTTGCTTCTCACTCTGTTTTTCTTTAGATAAACATATATTTTTAATTTTAACCTGTAACTTACCTATTTTTTCTTTTATGGTTATTGTTTTCTATGGCTTATCTATGAAATCTTTGTCTACAAGTTACATTATGTTTTCCTCTAAAATATTTATGTTTTTGTTTTTATTTATACATTTAGTTCTATAATCCATTGCAAATGAATTTTTGTGTATAGTGTGAGGTAGGGATCAGGGGTTTTTGTTTGTTCCCCTTCCCCTGCCCCCACAGATATTTAGTAATTCTGGCATCATTTGTTGAAAACACTATCCTCTGCACATTGGCTTACTTGGGGGAAGGTAAAAGTGGGAAGAGAAAGGGCGTATAGAGAAGCCATCTGAAATTAAACTGAAGACTTAATACTAAAATGAAAAAGAAGAGTCATTTTATTAAAGAACTTAAGAAAATGATGATGGTTTCTTCACTTAACAAAAAATGAGTTAATAATTCATTCACCAGAATTTAGTTCTTCTATGAACTCACATATAATGAAAGCACCTAAGACATATCTAATGACTAAAGGTCAACTCAGTTTTCTGTTCCACACCATTGCCTGCTTACCATTGTATGTTTATGTACATCCATTTACGTTTCACACATTGATAGGAACCAGGCATGCTGGGATCCAGGTTGGGATTATATTCATTAAATGGAATAGACTATATTTGCCCGAGATTATTAAATAAAACCAAACCTATAACCAAGTCAAAGCAGGATTCAACTGCTGGTCCCACCTTTCTGCATCATAACTGGAGTTTTTATTTTTTTTTCAATTGTATAAACCAACTTCCAGGTTATCTCTAGAAGATCTTAGAGCTGTGGTTGCAAACCCCTGCCCCCCAACCCACTGGGCTGTACAGCAGGAGGTGAGCAGTAGGCAAATGAGTGAAGCTTCATCTGTATTTACAGTCACTACACATCGGTCGCCATCCCCACCCCCACCCCATCTGGTCTGTGGAAAAATTGTCTCCCATGAGACTGGGTCCTAGTGCCAAAAAGGTTGGGGACCACTGTTAGAGTAATAGTGTTATTGTATGTTTGGAAGGATCTTAAAGAGTGAATGGTTCTCCAAATCCATTGCTTCCCAAAACACAAGTCACAAATCACCTAAACTTAAATTACCTTCATGACACACACAGAGAATGCTTAATGACTGCTCCAAACACTGGGGTAAATAAGAAGCACTTAGCTCAGAAACTATAACTATCTTAGGCACTTCCCAGGCCTTACCTGGTCACCTTGAGCATTGAAGGCCTCAATATCTTGGCACATTGGTTATACTTTTGTAACATAATATTTGGGTTATTTTCATCAAAGTGAAAATAGGTCGTTTTCATCAAACGTCTACAAAAATGCATGGTAGTGGATGGAGATCTATAGTTTTGGCTAACAAGCATCCATTTGCCTTATTTCTGGAAAAATTACCTGCAATTTATCTTGGAGAACCAGCCCTTTCTTACTCCCAGCCTACATGATTTGTGTAGGGTGACTATACACCCAAATCCAAGGGTGGGCATTTGACCCAAGGCTGCCAAGTTAGAGAATCACAGGTGCTGACCATGGTGATGACTGCAGGTATGGGCACACGATACCATCTGATACAGTCACAATCAGGCATAGTTCTTTAGCTGGAGATTCTGAGAAAGAAGAATGCTCTTTGTGCTTGGGTGTTTATGTCAGAAGAATGGAAGCCAGGAGGAAAGCCAGACCAAGAATGAAGTTAAAACAGTAGTTAACACAGAAGAAAGAACCAAGAGATGATTAGTGACATTATTTGAGCAGCTAGAAACAATTATGCCTGAAGTAGTCCTTACATTATATTTTCCAGTTTATGTGTTGGAAGGGGAGGAGAAGGAGGACAAAAAGTGAAGCCAAATCAAAAATAAAACTTTCCTTTATGAGTTGGATTTCTGCTCCTTAAAACCCAAGTCTCCCAAATCCTTGTGGATTGTTGAATCCCTCCTGGTTCTATCAAATCTGAATTTCTGGCATGGAGCCAAGGAATCTGCATTTTTAACAAGCACTCCATCTAATTCCTATAAACACTAAAGTTTGAGATCAACTGATCCAACCTCTTCGTTTTATGCCTAAGGAAACTGAGACTTATAAAGACTAAGTGTTTTTTCCCAAGATCATTCACCAATGTCTGTTTATTCTAGATGCATAGGGATTCCCAGTGAAAACAACAAGGATCACTGCCCTCATGGGCAACAACAAGCCTACTGGCAAGTAGCTGAACAGGACCTAGAATTCAGTTCAGCTCTTTTCTTTCTGGTGATTTGTCATGCTCTAATACTTTTCTTCCTTACTCCAAAATATTTCTGGTTTAAAATCTGATAGCAAAGATTCCACATTTGGGTAGTATTCATAGCACATAAAAATAAAAAGTATTTTCACAATTGTGAGGTAAAAGTTACCAGTGTACGTGGTCTGGTATTCACAAACATTTCCACCAAAGTGGTAGAGGAGAGAAAGCAGCAGAAGGAAGTAGATGCAGTACTCACCCTTCCCCTCAAAGTCTCAAATAGCCAAAAGTCTTTATAGTTTCTTGGGTTTTGTTAAAAATTCATCCAAAATGTTGCAGTCAATTCCATTTTATGTATAACTGCTTTAACAGAAAAATAGTTTCTTCTAAAATCTTTAAGTAAAAAAATAAATATTCCAGAAATAGAGGTGATCACTATTCTTTAGCTTATGTACCTCCAGCACATCAAGTTATCCAGTAGTACTTACTTATGCCCCACTTATATCCCAGTAAATTCATTTTTTTCTTCTCGTTGATATCCCAGGAGTTCTTTTCTACTAGAATAATAATGACAACAATATTAATAACAATAGAAACAACTGTTAGTCTTTATTTACTCCATGTTGAAGCACTGTGCATTCACTACTTCCAAGAGGTGGGTACTATTAGTATCCCTGTCACATAGATGAGGAAATTGAGGCAGAAAGAAATTAGGAGACTTGCTCAAGGCCATGCAATAGTAACTAGCTGAACCAGGATTAGAATCTAGGTAGTTAAACACTTAAGGCTGCTTTACGTACATTATTTACTCTGAAGTTTACTTAAAATATAATTTGCTCGCGTTGCCCCTTCATATTCAAAACTCATGTAACACATAAAATGGATGAGTTTTACTGTATATAAATTATACAATAAAAGTCAAGAAAGTTGATTTTCTTTTAGTCAAGAAAGTTGAATAAAAATTTACAGCCTGTCAAGCCAAGTTGTTAAGAATTTAAAGACTTGATGGTCCAGTGAATTGAATGACTTTAAGAATATGGATGTACCCATGGGACCAAACCTACAAGTAAATGGCCCGCATGCCTTATGAGAAGATACCTAGTGTTTCCAACATTTTAAAGTTTATAGGAGAGTGTGGGATGTTGTTGCATATTTCTGACTGTTGAGTGGCAAGCAAGAGTAGCGTCAAAGCAAGAGAGGAGCTAGAAGAATAAGGAATTAGTGGACTCCATTTTTAAAACAATAACAAAAATTAAATACTTCAAGACAGCCTTTGGCATGTGGGGAATGGGTAGACTGAGTTAAAATATACAGTATTCGTCCCAGATCTACAGTTTTGCTTTCCAGGGTTTTAGTTACCTGAGGTCAACCATGATCTGAAAATAGGTGAGTACAGTACAATAAGATATTTTGAGAGAGAGACAGACCACATTCACATAACTTTTATTTTAGTATAATTGTTCAATTTTCTTATTACTTATTGATATTAATCTTACTGTGCCTAATTTACAAATTAAACCTTACCATAGGTGTGTATGTGCAGGAAAAAGCAGTATATACAGGGCATACATTGGGAGTCTTAGAACATATCCTTCGTGGAAAGGGGGCCTACCATACTCTGATGGGTATTAATAAATATTTTGGCCTTCACTAAAAATGTACATACATAAGCTATACCAAACATGTCTGCAGGCCAAAATCAGCTTAAGGACTAGAGGCATACTTTAAAACATGGGTAAGTCGTCCACATTTAATATTCAATTTTTCATATAAATCTGAATTTTTAGCCTTTCTCTTGAAATTGGAGATCTGACATTTGATATCACTGGCATTTACTATCCCATTTAGACAGAGAATATATTCTTCAGATTGCCATAGTTCTCACCATGGCTTACAGTCTTTACTTGCTCTGTTTGGCCACATACATCCATGCCTGGTCCAAGGTGGCCATGAGAGTCTGCAATCCCAGAAGAACGGGAAAACATCCGAACTCCAGAGAGTGTCTGCAGGGTCCTTCACAATTATCAGCCTTTACAAAGACCCCATGTCTTCCAGTCTCACTGGATTCCTTAGAGTTCCATAAATAAGCTTTGCCATCCTCAGTGCCTTTGTCCATGCTGGTCTCCATGCTTAAAAATATCCTTCCTCCATCTTCCATTTCTACCTAAAGCAGTCTTACTTATCCTCAAGACTTAGTTCTAGTGTCAGTTCTTCTATGGAACTTTCCTAAGTCCTGCCAGCTAGCTATTTGCTTCTTCCTAAGTGTTCCCATAATACTTTCTGCCTCTATTAGCATTGTAATGACTTTTTATGTCTGTTTGCCCAATTGGAAAATATGTTTCATGAAGAGAAAAACTCTTAATCATCTCCATATCCTCAGTCCTTAATAGAGTGCCTGGCATCTACTAGGTATGCAATGAATATTTATTGAATGAACAAGTAGGATAAATGAATGAATGAATGAATTTTTAAAATTTGTGTTACAAGATTACATAATGCATTTATCTTTACAATAAGAGAAGTAACTACTCAAGACCACATTTCAAATTTTGGTAATTATCATGCTGTTTTCAGATATTAGTTGTTAAAGTTCCTGTTTATTATACCCTTGCCAGGAAAACAAGCCTTGAGAAAATAAAATCGATATAATATTAGTAAATATAAAAGAGTATACTTAAAAGTGAAGGCGTGCTACACTTTGGAGGGGGGATTGTTGTAGAGCTGCAAAGAGAGAGCAGATGGTGAAAGAAGTCATATCGTTTCGGCATTTAAGATTTGGGCCATAGAGTGGCAAGAAGGGATAGTTTAGCTGGCAGGGTATCATACGGACAAGAGTTACTACCAGTACAGTAGTCAGCTCTCTAACCTTGGGCACAAGGGAGGCTGCACTATCTGATCTCCTTGTGATGATTCTTTAGAGCGACACAACCAGTTCTAGTTGTGAGCCCAAAGGATGTGTGTCATTTCTGGGCCATAACATTTAAATGTCAGCATGAAACCATCCACAGTGATCTTTATTTTTCCACAGCAAGATGAAATATTCAAAATAGTGACTCTTCCACTAGCCAGGAATCTAGAATGAAAGACAGGGAACAGACCCGCTGACCTGCAATGGATTCATGGCACAGTTAAGAAAACAATTTTTGCTATATTAGGCCACTAAAAATTGGAATTGTTTGTTATTCAGCAGAATATAGCCTATCCTGATGGATACAACAGATTTGTTCTGTTTGGCTGCAAATGACAGAACTAAGACTGGTTGGAAGTTTCAGGAAAACCAATTTTGTGTAATACAAGAAAAAAAGTAATAAAGTGTACAAAGATGAAATGAACTGCTTTGGAAATTATTCATTCATTCACACAATGAACTTTACTCTGTGATAAACATTCTGTAAATAAAATCCCTGACTTAATGGAGATAAGTGGTGAGTTCCCCTTCACCCAAGACATCTGACTTGAAAGGCCTTCACCCAAAATACCTGACTGGCACTTAAGGGTTGCTTTGACTGGACAAATTAACCTTAAAAATACCTTTCAACCCAGAGCTTCAGGTTCTCTTCTCCCTCTGATCTAAACAGAGAAAGAAAAATCTATTTTCTCAAGTATTTCTTTGATTCAAATCATTTACTGATATATTGAGTTGTCTTTTCACATTTTAATGTAATTTTCTCAGCAAATAAGTTCCTTGAAGACCAATGCTGATTTATCCCCCTCCCCTTACATCTTTCTCCTATAATTTAGTAGGCATTATTTTATTGTCTATTTTTTAGGGAAATAATCAGTGTAGCTTTTGATACTATTATTTTTTTTTTTTTTTTTTTTGAGACAGAGTCTCGCTTTCTTGCCTAGGCTAGAGTGAGTGCCGTGGCGTCAGCCTAGCTCACAGCAACCTCAAACTCCTGGGCTTTAAGCAATCCTACTGCCTCAGCCTCCCGAGTTGCTGGGACTACAGGCACGAGCCACCATGCCCGGCTAATTTTATATATATATATATATTAGATGGCCAATTAATTTCTTTCTATTTTTATAGTAGAGACGGGGTCTCGCTCAGGCTGGTTTTGAACTCCTGACCTTGAGCAATCCGAGTGCTAGGATTACAAGCGTGAGCCACCGCGCCCGGCCTGATACTATTATTGACCATTTGGTATGTTTCAGATTTGTCTTACAGCCAGCTCAGCTAGATTTGGACTTGTTAAAAAATATAGTAGCACAAATGTATTACTGTCTTAGTTCATTTTGGATGCTATAACAAAGTATCTTAGACTGGGTAATGTACAAAGAAAATTAATTTATTGCTAACAGTTCTGGAGGCTGGGAAGTCCAAGATCAAGGTATTGGCAGATTCAGTGTCTTGTGAAGGCTTGCTCTCTGCTTCACAGATGGTGCCCTGTTGCTGTGTCCTCACATGGTGGAAGGGACAAGGTAGATAGCTCAAGAACTAATCCCATTTGTGCAGGTGGAAGCCTCATGACTCAATCACTTCCCAAAGGCCTCCCCTTTTAATACTATCACATTGGATATTAGGTTCCAATACATGAATTTTGGGGAGGACACCAACACTTAAACCATAGAAATTAGCTGATTTACTTTCAGGCAAAATGCCCTTTTCTTCTGAAAAATGGTCTTAGTGTTATGCTATTAAATGTGTGGCCAATCACACTATTTTATTAATCTCTTAATACTTAATGAGTCCCCACTAGGAGTACTAGGAGTAAAGCTCACATAAGAGCTTACCAAATTATGTCATTGAATGTACTGCACCCAGAATTACATAATTTTGTATTAAAATAGAGCCTGAGCTCTCTGTAAGACTATTTGGAAGAAAAAAAGTAAATTCAAAAGGTTGGGGGCAAAATGTTCTCTTGGTTCAACTCAGGGGAGCATACTGAACCTTAAATTCTGGGAGCTTAGCTGATAACTTGGGAAACCAAATTAGCAAATAAGCATGTAAGGAAGAAATAATAATCCTTTTTTTATATATCAAATTTCTGATAAGCTTCATTTCAGGCATTCAGAATTGGAGAATCAGCTGTCTGCTACAAGAAATTACTTATTAAGCAGTAATTAAAGACTGAGAATGCATTTTTTCCGTTTCAAACCTGATGCCTTTCTCAGATGGAGATACTGGTTAGGCAACTCAGCAGTTTGGTAAACTGAGGCAGGAGGATTTGATGTCTCCTGGGAACTACTGGGACAGAAAGTGATGCTGGAAGGAAAATTTGTGTTTTATTTTGTTTTGCCCACTAAAATTATTTATATTTTTTGCTTTGCTTTACAGAACTAAGAATTGAAGTAGGCACTTGTGTCTTTAAAAAGCAAGGGTTAGTTCCCTAAAAGAACACTAATCCATAAATGTTTTATATTCTTGTGTCTTTGGAATTGTCTGCATAAAATGATGATCAACTGAAAAAGATGGATAAATTCCACTGGATTCAATATCCATTGACAGAAGGAAAAAAGGGTATATCAGAAAGCAGCATGGATACATATGCTATTCTCCTTTATTTAGAAAAACAGCACAAAAAATAAAAAGCACAGTTGACGTTTGTTACCAGGGCTTCAAAGTCAAATCAACCACTGTGTAATAGATAAAATAAGGCTTCGCAGATATCAGGATTTTCCCAGCGTGCTTTTTTCATAACCATCTGACGGAAGAGGACCTAACAGAGCTTTTAGGAAAAACTGAATTCTCAGCCCACAGTTACTTTCCAGGAACTTCCCTGTAAACAGAGCTCTGTGCTGGCAGGATGGAAATCTTAGCAGTCTCCCTCCTGCTCCCATAGTTTTTCCTCCTCCCTAAATACAATTATTTATGGGGACTTAATGAGAGAGCAAGCCTGGTGTGAAAGAACTCAGGAAAGTGCAGCTTCTAAAAATACGCCTAGGCAGCCCTACAGCCCTTCTTCTTACACCTGACGTTTTTGCAGTTCATGCCATGAACCTAACTAACTACACTCTGCCAAATACACACACACACACACACACACACACACACACAGGACAAAAAGTAAAGACTGTTTTCTCTTTCTGCAATCCCCTGAACTTTGAGTAACAGTAGTGATTTTCTGTTGTCATGCTCAACGCAAATTTCCCAAAGGCAACAGGGCACAAAACAAAAGACCTGTTAGCTTCCTCAGAGCTGGGGGCAGGAATGCCAGGGAGAGAGGAACAAAGTTGATTGAGTTCCAGTTTCTCCTTAGCCTGGGGTCCTGAACCTCCAGCCACTCCGCTCTTGTAGGGGTTTTTGGAGTTTCAGTCTCCCTTTGGGGAGGTTCTCTGGCCCCTTCTCTCTCTGTCATCGAAATCCTCATCTCTTCCCCTCTTTGCACCCAGCTTTTTGGGGAAATTGGACCTCTGCTTAGGCGTCTCACTCCCAGCGGGCTGAAAGAAGTACAGCCGCTGACATGAGGATAAACACTGAAATAACTGGGCTGGGTCACAGCGTGAGGGTCTTCAAGACAGGACCCCCCCTCCTTCCTCCACGTGCTCCTCAGTTGGGGCGCAGCGCTCCTAGATGGGGGTTTAAGAGGGACGAGGGTGGGATGAAGGAGAGATGGACAGACCAGGCTGTGAGGGAAGGAGGCCCTCTAGGAAAGAACATCTCAACTGAACATTGAGGACGAAAAAAAATTGGCCCACATGCCCCTGGTCGGGGGCGATACACCCCACGTAGGCTAGGTTGGGGTGGAGGTGCTTCGAGGCCTCTCACCTGACTTCCTCCTCCGCTGGCACACAGACTACACTCACCCTCCCTATCCACTGCCCCCCCCCAAACCCAGCCAAACAACGAACAACAAGAGGAAGCCGCAGGCAGCAAGAGGAGGGGTGCGCATGGTGGGGGCCTCGGAGAGGTGAGGGGGCAGGGTTGGCGGGCGTCGAGAACCGCGCCGCACACCCCCGGCGCACCCCCAAGCGCCCACACTTACCCCTCGCGACTGAGAGTCCGGTCTTCGGCGCCAACCCCTGTGCGCGCCCCCTCGCCCAGCCTCTCCCCTCCGGCCCGCCGCCCCCACACTCGGGCCGGCACGCGGGGAGGGAGCCCGGGAGCGGCCCGCGGCGGCGGCGGCAGCGGCTCGGGCTCGGCTCGGCTCGGGCTCCGGTGCGCTTGGTGTCGCCGGCGGCCGCCGAGGCTCCCACCGCCAGGGGGAGAAGCCGGGCGGGCGCTGGGGAGGCGGGCCCGGCCCTGGCCGCCCCGCCGGCCAGCCCGCGCCGCACAACCTCCGAAGCGGCGGCGGCGCGGGGTCTGCTGAGCCCCCGGGCGCAGCGTGCCCGGCCCGAGGCGCCGCGGCTGGATGCGCGCCCCGGGTGGCTGCGGGCTCCCGCGGGGGGCGCCCCGGCCGCTCCCGTGCGCCTCTAGACTGCGGGCGCGGCGACCGCCGAGCGAGAGCAGCTCCCGCCGGCCCCTTCCCCCTCCCGCCCCCGCCGCCCCCTCCCCCTCCCCCCCGCTAACATCTCCTCCCTCCCCCTCCTTCTCTTCCTTCCCTCGGCCCCGCGCGCTCGATCGCTCGCTCCTCGCCTCGCTCTCCCCTTTAAACGCCCACTTCGGATGGGGAAAGAAGACAACTTGAAGTCAAGTTGCAATTAACTTCCGCGGCAGCCGCAGCTCCGGCGGCGGCGGCAGAAGAGGCAGAAGCCGCCGCCTGGGAAGTCCGACGCCGGCGCGCCCGCCCGGGGAGCCGATCCCGGTCTCCGGCCCGCACTCGACAGCCACCGCCGCCCCAACGCCCATGCCTGAGTAAGTTCTGCTCCTCTGCCTCCCCTTGCCCCCCGCTGCTCCTGCTCTTTCATCTCCATCTCCCTCTTTCCCCGGAATCCTTCCAAACTTCTCGGTGGCACCCACCCTGCGCTCTCCGTTGGTCCCCTCTCGTGGGCGCCCGGCGGCTGGGGTCCTCCGAGCCCTTCCCTCGCGCTCAGACCGGTCTCAGAGGAGTGGGGTGAGAGAGTGAGGGAGAGCGGTCGGGATGGGGGACTTGAAGAAGCCATTCGTTCTCTGTCACCGTGTGAACACACTAACACACCTGCCCAACAGTCCCTGGCGGAACAAACTCCTTCTGGGCATCGGTATGGCCCCTTTTAGAGGAGAAAAGGGGAGTGGAAAAGACCGAAAGAAGCAAACGGGGAAAGGGGGAGCCCGTCTGTGTGCCCCGGAGCCGGCGGGCAGCGAGGTGCCCGGCGGAGTGGGTGGGGGAGTGGAAACGTTCCCCCGCCGGGTCGCGATCCGCTCAGCATCCTTCCCCGGTCCATCCCGCCTTCCTCCGCTCCCCGCCGGCGCTGCTGGTGGGAAGCGTCTGCGGAGAGGGGCCTGGGAAGTTTGTGGCAACTTCTCCATCCCGGAGCCACTCGGGCGCCCGGGCGCTCAAGTTGGAGCCCGGAGTTTGAAAGCGGCGACGCTCCGCGTTTGGAGACTTCGCCGGCTGGAGCGAGGTCGGTGCTGGCGTGACTGTGCCTTTGGAGTTGGGCTGGAGGCAGAAGGAAGGGCGGCCTTCTTGGCGAAGGCCGGGACATCACAGGTGCAGCCTCGGGGTCCGCACCGCGTCTCCCTCCGGCGGTCCAGACCCGAGTGCGGTGGCCTTCTCCGAGAGCTCCCCGTGCCAAGGCTCCCGGAGCGGCGGAACCTGGGTTTGGGAAACCGTGACGAGAGGGACAAAGCAGGTAGGTGGCAGGTCTGGGGAGTGCCACGTGCGTACTGGGGAAACGCATTGAGCGGAACCCTGTTAGGATGACCCCAGAAGACCGAGAGGGGAGAGGCGTGGAGAGCTGTTGTTGGAGGTTTTGGCCCTGGCCTTCCCTGGGGCGTT